GTTTTAAAGGTTATTTTCTCTGCCTACTTGATGCAAACTTAGTGTAGCACTGATAAAAGATTTCTTCCTTCTCACATGGCCCCTCTGTGGCTTTTGGATGTGCACGGTTCCTGTTTCTAAATGTATGAAAGATGTTTCACACAACTGAGGACCTCCATGGTCTGAATTTTTGCCTTTATCCCAACTACTTTTTTTTTTCAGATGTGTCTATTTTCATCTCTTTGTCTTTCTCATTTCTTAACATAATTCATCTTGGGTTTGCTTCATTAACAATGATCCCATGGCAATGCTTGGCTTTCTGCCTTTCAGCACAATTTCTGGAGCATCATTAAGTAATGTCACCTAGTGGAGGTGTGGGGTGGGCAGTGTCGTGTTTGGGACAGCGCAGAGAACCACAAGGACCTAACAACAGCACTTTCATTGTCCTTGCTGAGGTCAGTGGGAGTGAAACCATGAAAAGCAGTGTTCATATAAGAAGCATCCAAAAAAAAGCCTTAAACCTGTGGTGGTGGTGGTATTTGTTGTGTTCTGTTTTCTCTCCTGGGGAAGATCAGTGGAGTTTGGTGGAAGGCTCTGGAAATGGGGATTTGCAACTCGTTCATCTTTGTAAAGCATGGGGTGTTTTCTTTACTCCTTCTCCCCAGTGCTCATAAATGCACGAGTATTTCTGCTGCAGAATGTAGAATTAATTTAGAGTGGCGGATAAGTCTCTGTGGGAGGTTAAACCAGTCACACTGCTGCCAAAGGAGGAAAACTACAGACCCTGCTTCTACCTCCTCAATCCTTAGACTGAGATGCCTTACCCCCTTTTTACTAAAATGGATTCACAGTGTGATATTTCTGATTGAACAAAGGCAAGGGGGAGTGCTGCCCAGAGTCCAAGCTAGGGTAACAGCACTGTGCTGATGTAGATATCCATCAGCACGGTGGGAGATAAAAAGAGAAACAGTGCTCATACAGGAAAATGCAAAGCAATGGCCAAGACATTTTAAGAATTATTTTGCATGCTTATGCCTAAGTCCATGTAGATGATGGAAATGGCATGCAGAGATCTGAACAGGGCCTTGAATCATTGGGAAGGTTAGGGTGGGGAATGAGGAGGTCATGACCACCTATATTTTACTCATCTTCTCTGCTTGCTTCTAATAACAATTAAAACATCCCATTTAACAAAAAAATGAACAAAATATTGTGCAACTAGAGCATCTTATCCTATTCTTTTGAGTTATATCTTGGGCTTCAGAGTTTTGAATGCTGTGATGAGTTGCTTAGAATGTATCTTTCTAGTTCCAAAAAAGGCCTAGTTCCAAAATACTTCAAATATCCTGTCATTTTAATGTGCATCTCAAAGGATCATTGAAACTTTATATAGGTGATGTGAGTTGCTTTTTTTCAAAAAAAAAAAAAAAGTGTCCTTGATATAAACAAGTGCATTTATCACCTTAAGACTTCTTCAGTGTTCATGTCTTCTTACGTGGACTAATATTTTTGTCTTCAGTGATAAATAAGGTTTACTTCAAAATGAAAGAAAGTTTATTTTTCTTGTCAAATTGTCCTCAATCTCCTCTTTTTTTGTAATATGTGTACCTTCCAGGATTTGAATGTTATTCTTCAGACTTTCTTCATATTTGATAGTGATCATTACTAGTTTTAAAAATAACACAAGTGTTTTTTCATGCATATGCACAAAGCAGCATTCAGACCATCCTGTGTGTATTGCTCTATCTTACTTAGTGTTTCCTCTTAACCCGTCATAAATTACTTAATTTCACAGTGCAGTCTTCAGAGATGTCTTCAAAACCATTACTGTTTTTTCACTTTAATGCTTCCGCAGAATTAAAAAAAAAAATAAAAAAAAATCTAAAACATTGTAGTTTAAAGACTTGTCCTTGAAACGCAGAGTGGGACTAAATGAGGAAAACAAATCCTGTGTTCTTATCAGTCAAGTAGGAGGAAAATGATGAAAAATTGTTAACTTATTAACTCCTAGGCCTCAGTTTGGTTGGACTGACTCCTAGGACTCAGTTTGGTTCAACTGTTGTCGATGTTCTGGTATCTTTAAGGTGATAGTTCTTCATGTTTCTCTGTCCACAGTGGCTTAATGAGAAACATGTTTGACAAACTTAAAATATTTATAGGAAAGGAAGTAGAAAGCTGTGTGAGGGAAAGCATGGACTTCTCTTGAGGTGAGCACAGTCTCTGTCTCTGCTGACCTCATAGTTGATGTAGATGAAAGGCACGGCTGAGATGCAAGTGAGGAATTCTGGCCAGCTTCTTCTGCCTTCAGCAGTGATGTCATGATGTACTCAAGACCAGTTTGACTTAACTTAATGAGCTGACTTAACTGCAGCCGACAAATGAGGGATAATAGTATCTCTGGTTCAGTTGGGGAACAAGGTTTCATATCTTCGTTCCTAGGTAGACGTAAATAGGCAATTCTTTGGAGCATCTTAGTAATTAGTGCACCTTAGTTACTGATGCTTGGACATGGTTCAGTGACCCATATCTGTATTTAAAAAAAAAAACACACAAAAAACCAACAACTTAAATTTAAAAAAAAATGCCACCATTCTGACAACAGGTGTACATTCTGTGAAATGCCACTTTAAACCTACTTGAGTGTCATTATTGAAGAGACTCAAACAGTTGAGATCTTAATTGATATTAATAGGAATAACCCTCAATGACGTGAACTTGGCAAGCCAGGAACTGCAGCTGTTCTCAGCAGTAGAGGCAGTAACAAAGATAATTAATTGTTTTTCCCTGGGAGATATATTTAGATTGTACAATCTAAATATTCCATTCCCTGAGCCCTAATTCAGGCCTGTATTTGTTCTGCAAATACAGTAAGTGAAATGAAAATTAATATTTTTTGAGTGTCGTACCATAATATGACCTACTTCAATTATATTAAAAAAACTAATGGCTTATTACACAAGCCTTCAAATGATGACTTAAGCAGTCAATTCCATACATTCTATTATTAACATAAAATAAGTACTAATTAGATTGAAAATGATAATGATAAAGCTTTGTAAGAGTTGGTTTATAAGTGCTGATGCTTGGACTGAACCTACCAGTAATGTACAAAGGGTATCAGATTCAGTAAGAGAGACGTGTTTTTAGACTCAGCTATCCTTGAGTGAGCACGTCTTCATTTGCAAATAATTCAGTCACCATTATAATTCTCCTGGGCTGTAAGAGAAAAGTCAAGGTTCAGTCGTGAGGTGTTGAAGCACCAAAAATATTTTACTGTAAAATGTTAAGACCAGTTTTACAAGACCTCTGTTTGGGTTATTGATGGTCAATAATGGGTGGTGTGTGGTGCCCTACAGCCTGACATGGATTAATTCACTATTACAAATTTAAAATCTGTGGAACTGTAAAGCACACAACCAAATGGATAGCAACTCCTGGGTGGGAGATGTTACTGTCCTTGCTGGGCTCGAGCCTTGTGGTGCCTTCTGCCAAGGTAAATCAGGTGCCCTCTGCCAGCTCACAGACATGTCCCTTCGCATGCAACAGATGAGGCTTTATTTCCTCTATTCGTAATATGGCACTAAACCACCAAAACAAACATTTACCTTTGTGATGTAAATATTTTCTAAACTGAACTTCCATCAAATCGTGTGTTTATTTGCACTGCTTGCTGAGAGATACGGACTGCAGCAGGAAAACCTGTCATTTATGAATGGGATGAAGCTCTTTATTCACTTGCATCTTAAACGAAATCTAAATTATACATCATGCTTTGCATACCGCAAAAGTAATATGTATAATGAAAAAAATGATTGTATGAAGTCCATTGTAGTAGTAACTTGAGTGTTCTGTCCTTTATCTTTCCTTCAGCCTCATGGCAAGGAAAACTGCTTTGAACTCAAATAACTTTTCAATGTAGTAACGATCATGAATTTTCAATATACTAACAACATCAACTGTGATGTTCTAAACCCCTGTTTCTCTGGATCTCCCTGCCCTAATTTGACCATTATAAGAATGGAATATCAGTTGCTTAGGGGGCACATTGAAAATATTACACAACTGCAGTATTTAAATATTGCACAATTGAAAATATTACATATTAAAAATATTGCATAATTGCACTGGCATTCAGTTCCGCATCCTTTCAACAGCAGTAGATTTGAGAGCTAATACTGCTTTTGCCTGTGCCTGTAAGTACAGTGGACAGCTCTTAGTGAATCCACAGGTAGGGCACACCTTAGAAATTTGGTCCCATCAGTAACAGGAGAAAAAGATATATAAAATGACTAAAACGTGTGAATGCTGTGATCATAGATCAGGCCAAACCAGCTCTTCCTGGACCCTGTGTTCCTACATGTGTGTGTTTGGGAGGAATCAGAAGGATTGAGTCTGCTTCAGTGATTTAGCCCAGTCATGGAGGTACTGTAGAACAGCTGCAAAAAATAACTAGTGCAGCACCAAAGAAACAGCCTTCTCAGTAATTCCCTGACTCGAAATCACTCAAAAGTAAAATTATTCTGCTATGGCACTCCAAAGCTGTGTCTGTCTTCTGGGGAGAATTGCCTGCTCGTATGGTTCTGCATCTCTTTCTGTCCTGCTGCTAGAATATAATTAAAGTTGCTAAAAATATGTACTTCCTAATATTGTTTTTTTTCTCTGTGTAAGCATCTGCCATTATTCTATTATCAAGGGAGGACATAGTATAAAGATGAATGCTACTTAATAGAGTTAAGTGCTCCATACTGCATATAGATATCAGAGCTCCTTATTTATGGCCTGATCCAAAGTCCCCTTAAGCAAAAGATATTCAGAGGAACCTGATGGCTTTGTTAATTTTTTGAAGTATTTTTACCTTGTGTCAAATGAGAGGAGACTTCTGAACTGTGAACTACCAGTTTCATACTAGCCTGTGAGGAAATCATGTTTTTAGTGCTGCAGAAATTAGTAGAACAAATGGGGGCATAATTACTGAGCTTTTACAATCCTGACATCATCCCTAATTATGGTTTAATCTACAGAACATACTGTTTGTTTAATAAGTCCCAGCAGAGACAGTTCAAGCATATGTTTTCACATCACCTGGAGGTAGCTGGGAAGGACTGTGGCAACACTGTCAAGAAAGTGACAGTTTACAAGATTTTATGTATTTTACCGTATAGAGCACGGCTCACCTTCGACATGCGTGAAATCACTTAAAGGTAAGCAGTAATAAGCATTTAGAGCCAAAGTAACTCATGTGTTACACACAGAGTCTTTGTTTCCCTTTGCATGTGGTAAAAGCCAAGGCATAATTTTCTTCTCACAGTCTCGAACCTAGCATAGCTGGTAATGAAGTCCTCAGCACCCCTCCTGCTGAAGTGAGCTGTGATTTTTGCTAACACAGGCTAAACATTGATCAGCCTTTTGACCTGTTAAAATGATGATATCTGCAGGTTCTCTCCCGAGCTCACTAACTATGGATATCTTGGCTTTTATTTAAAGCCAGCCAATTTTTTCCTGAATATGAAGTTATTGGTTTTCTTTCCCATCTCCTCAGCCATTGCTTGAATTTTAATTACTCTTCACCATATGTGGAAGGTCTCAAAAGCAGCTTAAAGATTTTGGACAGAAGAGAGTGCAGGGACCAAGAGGGGTTTGCATGTGTGATGGATGCCCTTTGGCCTGTTTTGTTATGAAGTGGGACCTTCCTCTAACATTTATGAAGGCTAATCGAATTTCACCTAAGTGAGTGAAAGCAATAATTATTTCAACTTAATTCTTTTGGTTTGGGTATGACATTGAAAAATTCAATACTTTATATGTTCTTGCTTTGCTCTCACTATTCTTTATCAATTGGTAATGGGGGAAAAGAGATGCAAGTGTTAAAAAATATTTAAATATTTTACGTACTTTTTTTAGACTTCTAAGAAATTCAGAATGAATTGTTTAAAATACACTTAGTTTTCCACAGGTGATGAGCCTATGATGATCCTAGAATGCAAACTAAGAAGAGCTCAATTTTAAAAGGAAACTCTCATCAGAGATGGGCGATTGCTAGCTTGCTTTACAAATAGTTTTTTATTACAGGTCTGTACCCAAGGCCTGAGATGGTCTCCTCATCCTTTTACCAACTCATAACCCTAGTCTGACAGTGTGAAAGCTTTGCTCCTTGGACATGAGAAGGAAACAGTCAAATGAGCATATGTGCTCGTTAATCCCATGTGCCTGTCCTCAAGGCTCACATAACCCACCCGGTGCTATGCCTGCTGTCCTGCGTTGGATAATGAACCCAAGCTGGGGTACTTCCAAAACTTCTTCGTAGGCAGCTGGGTCACATTGTGCTGCTCTAGGTGATGCAATAGGCATATGTTGGCATGTATTTTTACAAAACATAAAGCTACTCTGATATATGAATTCCATCCCTTGTATCAATGTGATGTTTCTTTGTAACATCACCCTTTTAGAGAATACAAGCTGCCTCTGCAAATACTATTTAAAGCTTTCCAGATCTTATTAAATATCCCATCTTTCTGCCTCTAATGTTTATTTACTCAGATGTTCACATCCAAGGTATACTGACAGCAGCAGCTAAAACCTCAACACATTGTTCTCTACCGGTGTGAAAATTATTATTCTATAAGTACATTTTTGCATTATACCTGAAATTATCAGTCTTGGATCATGCTATCAAAAAGACAGGCCTGAACTGCAGAAGATCGCAATTTTAACTAATTTCCCAACTGTTAAATTGCAGTAAAGTCTATATTAAGCAACCCTTTGGTGTGCCATTAACCTAATTCTTACAGTTTAACTTCGAACTGTTGATTAGAGTTATTTAAAATAATGGGTATGACTTCAGTAGGGCCCAGCATAAATAGGGAGCCATTATAAAAAAAATTAATATATACAGTTTGTGTTGTAAGTTTTGAATATTACTGCTACTTTTTTAATGTCTGTTTTGAACTTTTTTGGTATTTAAGTTATTTATTGTTCAGCTTGAACAGAATACTTAACTCTGGTAATAAGACCTTCTTAAACTGTGTATGTAGATTGTACTTAGGAAGAAATTTTAGCTTGTTTTGTCTCATAGTTCTTCTGTGCTTTTAATCATTGAGTTAGTATAAGGATATCTTAGGCTTTAACACCATTTCCCTGTAGATTAATTATTCCCATATAAAATTAATATGTATTGAACATATGTACTTGCTTACGGTAGCAGACTTGGCTGTTTCATTTCATATAAATCTTCTGTCACACAAAACAAAACCTTCATATTTAAGACTTCTTTGGTCATTAAAATTGAATTACGTAGTAGGCTTCCATCTGCTATCAAAACCTGTTCAACATTATTCCCTGTCATTTTAAGTGGGATTGCTCTGAGATCCGTTTACTGACAGCAGGCTTGCTGCTCCTGCCCTACCCCACTCCTAGTCAGGGCTTCCTTCCTCGCTGCAAGGGCATCTTGATGTTAATTGCCTTCTCAGAAGGTTTTCTCCAGGAGTTGGGTTCTTGTTTCTTCTGTGTTGCCATCCTCTACATCCTTATGCTTGTGTATTTAAGTGGTGCACAAGTTCTGCCACTTACTGCCCCCAGCCCATTACATTTATTGCTCTGTGTTTAGGGGGGATGATCAGCTTTGCTATCTGTCAAACTCAGCCACTATCGCCATGACACTGATCACGGTTAGCAGAGCAGTTACTATTAAATGATTGGCAATGGAACAACAAGAGAGTGGATAGAGAAGATGGATAGCTCAGCATTGCTGCGCTTAAATGTGAGCTGTAAGCAGCAGTTTGGAGCTGGATAAATACAATCTGATTGCTGTAATGACAGCTAGGCTGCACGTTATTGCAAATGCTCTCTCTGTAAGAATAGCTGAGGACTGGAATAGATGACCGAAGCAGGGGCAGGAATTTCACAGAAAGTTTATTTTTTTTAAGAACTGCACTGATAAGTGGGGCTAGATATGCTTTAGGAAACCAGATTGTGCTTTATAGTGAAGGAGCTGGACCTGATAACTTCATGAGGTCACTGCTGGTCCTGGCTGAGGCTGTTTGAAGCTCCAAATGTCTAATACAGGTATGCAGGAAGGAGGGCAGAGAGGAAGGCCAACTTAAGTAATTAATAACTTATGGAGTATATGAGGCCTCGGGATTTTTCTTGAACAAACCACTTAGTTGCTGGAAGACTGAACAGTTCCAGGATTATCTGATCCAGCCCGATATCGATACCATTGCGATATCTGGCAAAAGGAATGATATTTTTTCCTTGAGTCCTACAATGAAGAAAACAAATCCATGGGCAAAGATAACACCTTCAGCATCCTCCTCCCAGGCAAATAAATGAGAAGACAGTTCAGTTCAATCCAGGTGCCATACAGTATTTTTTTTATTTATCCTTTATGATACCTTTCAGGTTATAGTTTTTTCTTTTTCATTAAGCACGATTTTGTTTTTCCATTATGCAGCCATCTGAATTACTGACACCTTGCCTGTTTCTTTCCTTTATGAAATTATCTAAACTTTTAAAAGAAGATTTAAAACTTTATTAAATTTGATAATAAACAGAGCAGACGTTTACTCCCTCAATTTCCTGATATCTACAAATGTTGCAACATTTTTAGAATGTGCTTTTTCCTCCTGGCTTGGGCAGATGTTGTTCTATTAAAGTTTGAAAAAATCGAAGGAAATGGTTTTGTTATGTTTTATGTGGCAATAAAACTACTGAATTAAAACAATGACACTATTGATTACCCTTTGATATAAGAAATTTATCTAAATTAATTATCTTTTGCTATTTGCTAAAAATATTAGAATGTGAAAATTCACAATGATAGAACATCTGTTGAACAGAGGACTTATTAAAGATACTGTAATAAGCTATGTAATGAATGCTTTCAGCTTCCAAAAGAGGAAAATATTGTGTATGACATTTATTTAAATAATTTGCCTCAATTCAAGATTTCCATTCTACTGCTAAGAAAAAGAAGCAATTTTGCCTTGGAAACATTACAATTAAATGTGTAAGCTTTACAGCAAGAGAAGGTAAAATTATAATGTGGGAATATGTAAGTTAAAACAACTAATGCAGGTTGTAGACAAAAAAGATTTATTTGAAGTCCTGCTTAGAGGCACAACACGTGGCATACTGCATTGAACTGGGTTTGAATTTGGCTCAGGGTGACTTTTCTTCAGTCCCAATCCTTCTGTTCATATTTTTTCTACTTCTCAGGAGTCTTTATTTCAGATCTTTTGGAGATTTAATCCTGGGAGTAGCTGAAAGACTTAGTCTTTTCTCCGCTGATTTCCTCAAGAGGCAGCAAGCATGAATAAGTGTACAAAATGATGCATTATGCAAGCCATCTCTTCTGGATGCTTCTTGAATTTCTTTTGCATGTGCAAGCTTGTCCTTGCTTATCAAAATTCCTGTGTTTGAGATAGGAAGCACATAGTTCATAGGATGACCTACAAAGGTTCCTACAAACATCCTCACCATTCCTTACAAGGACTGATTTTTTTTTTCTCTTGCAACCATTCCTTCCTGATGAGGAGGCTTACACCACATCAAATGAAACATTATGAGCACGATATGATAATGCGGGCCAAGCTGGAGAGTCTCTCATTCCATATAAATAATTTCTTCATAGATGTTTTGTGAAATGGGGAAGAGAGTTGTTGTTTCACTGGAACTCTTTGAGGGCTTTTCACAAACGCACATTTTTGCTCTTGTGCACCCTGGCACTGTCTGGCTGTCAGCAGCTGAAAGGGCATGCTGTTGACTGCTATGGGGCTTGTCATCCTTCATATGTAAGGGGATAAGTGATGGTCACTTTGACCTTCTACCCTGCCATTAATATTCACTGTAAGTCTGGCAGTCAGGGAAGAACAACAACTCCACACTGGGGAACGCGGTTGCTTCTGCCAGTTTTCAAGAGGATAAATCTAATGGTAAAGAACTGGTTTGTAGTGAGCTTGTTGGGACTTCAACTTCTCTTTTATACAGGGATACTTGGAGCAGGGATTGGCAAATGACAAGATTGCAAGAATTGTTTTCTCCTATTAGTATATATCTAGTACAGATAGTATCTTGCCATTCCATAACATTTTTATGTCATTAGAGAACACTGCTATCATGTCATTTTGTAGTTTGCTGAGGTATGTAGTATTGTGTGACCCTTTGCTGATTAGGTAAAAATCGTCTCAGGAATATTTGGGTCTCTCTCGTTATCTGAATGCTTCTTAGATTTCTCTGTCCATAAAGTGTGCCAAATTAAGGCTGAATAATAACCTTCTCTGGTCCAAATCCACAGGAGGGGACTCAGGGTCAGCCCTCTTAAAGGAAATACTAGGTAGTCAAAGGATGAGCAAAAATGAGAGGAAAAAGGCTGCTCCCAAATTTATCGCCTCCCCACTCCACCAAATGCTTCATGATTTGTATAAAGTAGTGGATGTTTCTAGTCTTCTTGTTAATACTGATCTGTAATGCACCTTGCTCATGCATGATCTGTGAGTTGAAGTCGCAGTGGGCAAGTCTGCAAAATATGAATTGTTTTAGCTGTGTAATGTAAATGAGGAATCTGAATGTGAATATTTATAGACTCTGTTTTGGACTGAGAAGTAGGATTTCTGTTGTCAATCAGAAGACTGACCAGACTGTAAACAAGATGTCTGTGACCTTGCTGGGTGGAAGATGTGCAGACCGACAAACGCGTGTACGTGGCATCAGGGGATATGCTGCATGAACAAGGTGTTTGGCACTGTTAGTGACTGGTACCTGTGCATGTGCTTTGCTATGGAGAAAAACAATTGATTAGTAACTGCTCAGTATGTGATAACTAGTACACTGGGAACTGAGTAAGTACACATAAAATGTACATGACCTTCCCAGGAATAAGTATGGATAGAGATATAACTGGTTAAGCCCTTTTCAAACACAGCCACAAATTCAAGTCTGACTAATCTTGAGAGAGATTCTTTGGATTGTGTGAATAAAACTTTTGCTCTCTGACTTTGAGTGTGGCATTGTACTGAACCAGGCACGACAGAAACAAGGGCTAACAACATTTTGTTTATAAACTGAGTGTAAAACTCTGATTTAGTGTTTTGCAAGACACATTCAAAGAACTTTGTCTGTACTTTAGTGTGGCCAAAACTTAAACATTTTGCTGTATTCTGGGCACTAAAAATGTAGATTTAACTCAAAAGGTATAAAAGGTTGGAAAACGATTATGTAAGTCTAAGAAGTCATAAGTAGGAACTGCTGTGCATGCTCTTTCTTTCCATCTCTCTTTCAGTTACAGTAATTTAGGTTTTAGCATATGATGAATTCTAACATAAATTACTACCGGAATATACTTTTCAACTTCTGTGTAAATTTTGCAGAAATTAATCTGCAAACCCTTCCATGTTTCAGAGTGAGAGATCAAAGAAAATCCCAAATGGAAAACATGCTTTAGAAAGGGGGGGAAAAAGTTCTAAGTTTTTAAGCTCTTGTAATGAAGATAACTTAATTAAAATCAAAGCAAAACTAATTAAGAACTTAAAAGTACAAGTTTAGGGTTGCATAATTTCACTGAAACATGGCAGAACTGCTTTATTATCACTGATAGAAGTTCCCCATTGTGTAGACAGGTGATGCACTCACCAGAGGATCAGAATGTAAAAGCACACCTTAAGTCCAGTTTGGGGACAGCTTTTGTTGGCCTTTCCATGCTTCCTTTTGCCTTCCTGCTTTTTGCTTCTGAAGCAGTTGCTATTTTGGCAGGCAATTCCCACTCTTTCCTGGGAGTTCTGCCTGGGTAAGCAGATAGGGACAAAACAGCTGAGCACTTTAAAATATAGTAACTTGATTGAAAGGGACCTGCAAAGATCATGGAGTCCAACACTTGAATGTGTTTATCTGATTTTTTTTTCCATGTGGAGCCAAGCTGCCAGTGTAAAGTTTCTTCTGATGAGAAAAGTGTGGTGGCATCCCCAAATTGAAAAGGAAAGCATGTTTACTAGCATGTCCCCCTGTGATGTTCTTTGCCATCTTCTTTTACCCTTTTTCTCTCTTGTAAATTGAGAGAAAATTGTAAATTTCAAAGTTTTTATATTTCACTTTTATCATAGGAAAGATAATCTCTAATTTTGTGGGTACTGAAACTTTGTGAAGTGTTCTAACTTCAAGTCCATCTTCAAAGATTTTGTATAAATGAACTGAAACATCATATTTCTTTCCTAAACTTCATTCATTTGTGTTCACAAGGCTGCTATCAGTTGCCTGTAGAAGGCCTCATCAACTTCCTCAGCCTTATCTGGTGGCCTGTAATAGACACCCACAGCAGTATCCCCCATGCCAGTCTGCCCCTTAATTCTCAACCACAGACTCTCAACTCATTCCTCATCAGCCCCTGGATGGTATTCAACACAATGTAGTTGCTGTTTCACGCAAAGAGCAACTCTGCCACCTCGCCTTGCTGGCCTGTCTTTCCTGAGCAGGACATACCCAACCATGACCATATTCCAGTCATGTAAGTTGTCCCACTGTGTCCGTAATTGCAACTAAATCACAGCCTCCTGACCAAACACAGATTTCTAATTCTTCCTGCATATTCCCCATGCTGTGTGCATTGGTGTACAGGCACTTCAGGGAGCAAGCTGAGCATGCTGATTCCACCCTAGGGGGGTGGGAGGTCTCCTGGTCTTCATCACTGCTAGGGCACTGCCCACCGGTGCAAACCCAGTTACAACCCCCTCCCCCTTAGGATCTAGTTTAAAGCTTTCCAAATGAGCCCTGCTAATTCCTGTCCAAGAACCCTTTTGCTCCTGTGAGATAAAACTTTCTTGCTTTTTACTGTCAGGCCTGGTGTCTTATAAAACCAGCCATTATATAAGAACCCAAAGCCCTGCCTGTAGTATCAGTCACGTAGCTAATCATTGGACTGGATCCTTCGCAGATCACTCTGCGCTGGTGCGGCCTCACCTTGAGTACTGTGTGCAGTTCTGGGCACCACAGTATAAAAAGGACATGAAACTGTTGGAGAGTGTCCAGAGGAGGGCTACAAAGATGGTGAAAGGCCTGGAGGGGAAGACGTACGAGGAACGGCTGAGGGCACTGGGCCTGTTCAGCCTGGAGAAGAGGAGGCTGAGGGGAGACCTCATCACAGTCTACAACTTCCTCGTAAGGGGGTGTCGAGAGGCAGGAGACCTTTTCTCCATTAACATCAGCGACAGGACCCGCGGGAATGGAGTTAAGCTGAGGCAGGGGAAGTTTAGGCTTGACATCAGGAGGAAGTTCTTCACAGAGAGAGTGGTTGCACACTGGAACAGGCTCCCCAGGGAAGTGGTCACTGCACCGAGCCTGACTGAATTTAAGAAGAGATTGGACTGTGCACTTAGTCACATGGTCTGAACTTTTGGGTAGACCTGTGCGGTGTCAAGAGTTGGACTTGATGATCCTTAAGGGTCCCTTCCAACTCAGGATATTCTATGATTCTATGATCTTTCTACTTTGTACCACATCATCTCCCCAGCACAGGAGGAGGGAAGAAAAAATGAAGTGTTCTGAACTCTTTCAACAACTGTCCAAAGGCTTTGAATTCTTTCTTCATTTCGTCTCAAAAGGGAATTCTTTGGAGATCCTCCTACTACAATTACCCTTCTTTCTTTTTGGAGGCAGTCTTGAGGCTTGGTGTCAGCTGCCTCTTCTGCTGTGATCTCGTAGGCAGGCCTTCCACCATATCCTCGCCTACTGCTCCTTCAAGATCCAGGGTCTCAAACCTATTATGGAGGGAAGCGAGATAAGTGGGGAGAGGTTGCTGGTGATGTCGAAGTGGTACTCACTTCCAACCCTCCTTATTTCTTTGGTCCCCTCCATATTCTGGACAGTGACAGAGTAGAGGCTCCACCATGCTTTGGGGAACATCCCTCAGTGCCCTTCCCTCTGGCACACCAGGGAGTTACTCCACCAGTCAATCTCCTGCTCACATGCCCTGATGCTCCTTAGTCTCTCCACCCTGAGCTCAGCCACCATGGGGAGCAGCCCTTCCACCTTCGCTTGTCTAGTAATAGCAGTGTGCTGCAGGTATGAACGTGAGATTCTTGTGAAACCGCAATACTGATAAATTGAACCTGGATCTTTATTTATTTTTCTAGGTTTAGTGTAATTGGTTTCCTAATAGAGATTTTGAGCTTTGTCCTCTTAAAACTGTGCCTGTCTTTTAACAGAATAAATATTTGGCTGTAGAAACAGTGACTTTAAAACAAAGGCACTGGCTATTTTTTTTTTTTGTGAAACTTTCCTTCCAAAAGCCATTGCCAGGTGTTTGCAACATAGCATAGGAGTACTGTCCTTAGGGAGGCAAAGCTTTTATTTACCCATCAAGAGATGATTTCTGACCATCTGCTCTGTATCTCACAATTGGTATGTTAAAAGTATGTGAATTTTCTCATCTGCTGGGAGCCTGCTAGCACAGCACACAATACAGAAAGAAACAGTGTGCAGAGGTGTCATTGAAAGTATATATATTTTTTTCTGTTAAGAAATAAGTCCATCTTAGATGACTATTTTTTTATGATGTATTTTTCTTTTTTCTTTTTTAAAAAAAACCAACACAACACTAATTACAGCATGTCCATGAATAACTGGTCCAATTCATTTTACAAAGATAGCAGCTGAAAATAAGTGATAATTCTATAGATATGCAAAAGAAAACAGTTTGAAAAAGCAGTTTCAGAGCCCATAAAACCCTGAGTGAATATAAAGCTGCTTTCTTCCAAACAAGATCTGTTTTTCAAAGTGTTCTATAAGTTAGTGTTTTTTCACTCTGCTGGGTTTTTCTGTAGATAGAGAATTAAAAAAGCTTAGATCTCCATAATTTCTGTACTGTTGAATAAAATACAAGGAAAGAGTTTAATTGTGTGGAAATAGCTAAATTATTTCAATTAAAAGAAAATTTAAAAAGTTGAAAACAAGCTGTTTTCCCAAATACATGCTCAAGACTGAACTATAAAGTGTGTGTGTTCTTTTTTTTTTTTAAATCAAGTTTGTTTAAATCACTTTAATCTTTACCCCAAATGAGAAAAAGATGTATTTGTGTAGGTGTATGTGACCATTCATCACAGTTATAGGATATGTCCCTTATCCTATTGACAGTGTTACTCTGAGGTTGCATTCTGGTCTGACTGGCAGTTGAGGTTGAGTAGTGAAAAAGTATTTTACTGCAGATAAAAGTATAAAATACAATGGAATGTTGCAGAGGAAAACAGTCTCTAAATTTACATCAGTGTGGCCCTACTGGTTGTTCGTCTGCCTTCAACTTGGTGCCTCCAAGGGGAAATAAGAAGAAGAATGTAGAATTTCCTCCTGTGCTGCCGAGTTTCCTTCAGAGACGGCTGCAGGTGTTAATTTTGGGCAGGGTTTAATTCTGACATCTTGCCTAAAAGATATAAAAGAATATCTCTGCAAATTTTGCATTGATTTTATCAGAATCATTGTAAAATTTGTTTACAAACTTAAATAACTATACTGAAATTCTCCATTGGCTTCAAATGTAATTTTAACGCTGGGCTCCACTTGCTGCAACATATAATTAGACTTGGAGTATTACATTTCGGCATAAATGACAGCATTGATTTCTCCTTCTAGTCAATTATTGTCAGTTAGGAATTAGAAAAGAAATTAAGTTTATTTTTCTATAGGAATTTTGCATTTTGGTAATTCAGTATGTTCTTGTAGAACCAGTCACATGGACAAACTTGACTGCATAAATGGTTCTAGAAGCTTAAACTTCTTATATTCAGCTTTTTTTTTTTTTTCCACTTAGCTGTCAGTCCAGAAATCTATAAATTTAAATAGTTAACTTTAACAATCTTAATCCATGACACTTAGCCATTTCAACCACTCTTTTTGCTCTGAGAAATAACTATATGCAAAAAGAAGAAAAAGTATTGAGTGGGCACTGAGCATATAAGTAGTTCTACTACTGATTTGATATATACCGAGGTCACCCATGTGAGGAAAAATGGATCTTGAGTGATATGTGGACATGGTAGATAATTGTCTTTGTGCTAGTTTTGATATTCCCATGCCTTTTAGGAACATGCATGTAATGTATGGAAAATAACAGTTCACACTGTGCTACAAGGTTTCTATAGACAAAGAAATTTATTATGGATTTTAATATTTTTATTAAAAGAAATTATTAAAAATTAAAATGGATTTGCTTATATTACTGCACGTTCTTGAA